AAAAAAAAAAAAAAAAGGATTATGTTTTATTTACCTTTGCATCCTCCATTCCTACCACAAGGCTCAAATGACTAGAGGAGTTCAGTAAATACTTTAGTGAGCAAATACTGAAAAGAATGAATAGACTTTAGATGGTTGAGCCAGAATCTAAATCTCTTCATGAACCAATCGGTTCTTCCTTTCTTCCTTCCTTCCTTTGTGGTACTGGGGATTGAGCCCAGGGGTGCTTTACCACTGAGCTGAATCCCCAGTCCTTTTTAGTTTTGTTTTGAGCTAGGATATCACTAAGTTTCCAAGGCTGGCTTCAAATTTTGATCCTCTGCCTCACACTCCTGAGTTGCTGGGATTACAGTGTACGACTTCACCTGACTCTCTTTGTACTATTACATATATAGTTTAGATTCCAAAAATGACATATATTATGGAATTGTGAAGATTATAGCACAGCATAGTGTATGCAAAAGCACCTGGCATGTAGACAGTGATCTAAAAATATTAATACTCTTCCCTGAAACTGAAAAGGAGAAGGGATGGTGATAAAAAGATACATATGTTTTTAAAGAGATAGTGCCAAGAACTGGGAGACAAAAAGTCTTGTAAATGTATAGCTGAACAAGAGCCTGTGTCTCATACTTTAGAGAGAAAAGAACACCTTGGGTGCATGACCCTATCTAGGAATACAGACTTCCTTTCTATACAAAAGCAATTTGGGGGCTAGGTTTGTGGCTCAATAGTAGAGTGCTCACCTAGCACGCATACGGCACTAGGTTTGATCCTCAGAACCACATAAAAATAAAGGTATTGTGTCCACCTACAACTAAAAATATTTTTTTAAAAATAGTCTATATATATTTAAAAAAAATAGTTTGGCACAAGGACCATTTGGGAGCTAGGTGACAGAGTAAGTAGTATATCCAACTTATATGTAGATTTGGTTTTATTTTATAATGTTACTAATATAGAGAATGTGATTTATATGATTGGAATATTTTTCTGCTCAGGTACTGGGGATATAACTCAAGGCCTTCCATATGCTAAGTAAATCCTCTACAAATCAACCACATCCCCATCCCCTTTATTGAGACAAGGTCTCACTAAAACTGAGGCTGGCCTCAATCTTGAAATCCTCCTGCCTCAGCTTCCTAAGTCACCAATGTACCCACATATCTTGTCTAATATCTAAAAATAGTTATTTGATATATTTTACTCAGTTTCTCATTCTTTTTTTTTTTTT